TCTTGGAGGCGTGTCCTGCTCCTATAGGCGTGTCATCCTCTTGTAGGCGTGTCATCCTCTTGTAGGCGTGTCATCCTCTTGTAGGCGTGTCATCCTCTTGTAGGCGTGTCCTGCTCCTGTAGGCGTGTCATCCTCTTGGAGGCGTGTCATCCTCTTGGAGGCATGTCATCCTCTTGGAGGCGTGTCATCCTCTTGGAGGCGTGTCCTGCTCCTGTAGGCGTGTCATCCTCCAGGAAATGTGGATTTTTAGGTTTTTGGGGCTTAAATGAAATAAGTTGAACACTAAAACTTTCACTTATTATTGACTAAGTTTGACTTTAATTTATAATTTAATAACATGTTGTTGTTGAGCTGTATCTTTTTTTAAAGCTGTTTATTCTGACAAACTAACTGTGAAAATTAAGGTTTGTGTGTTTGATGGAAACAGGTTTATTTAAAAAATGTTGTGAAGACTTGCAGGACATTTGTGAGGAAGCCTCTTTAAAGTCACACATTAACCATGCAGAGAGAGTGTGTGAAGGAGCAGACAGTGTGAGGGCCGGGAGGCGTGCGTCATCAGCAGAGGAGGGAGATTTTCACAGGATGTTGAGCATAGACCCACTCGGGGGGGGGGGGGGTTAATGTGACCCCGTTTAGCAACATGTTGGTGTTGAACATGTTGGCAGGGATGGAGTCAGGRTTGTTTCTGAAAGACAAAACTCTGGATTTACTGCTCCATCTGACCCTCACCAGGAACAGAGTCCAGGACAGACCCAAAAACCCTGGTCTGGGGACAACTCGGGGTCCTCCAGGAGGAGCCGGAGGGTCTGGGTTTCTGTCCTGGACCTGTTGCCTTTAGGGCTGAAATGACTCCTCAAATAATCCGAGTGATTTGATTACTAAAAATCCTTGAGTCAGATTATCTGCCCCTAAGTTTCGTTAAAAAACAGGTCCTGTTAAAATCAGCACACTTCTGCCGGCCGGCAGGTTGTTTGAGTTACACAACGCTACGACATTAGCGCTTCTGCTAGTGGTTACTGTTGACGCGTGTATGCAAAGGACTATTTTTAGAAAAGGAAGGAGATGAAAAGTCCCAAAATGAGGCGCTCAGAAAACGACATAATTGTGAAAAGTGTGGGATAATTTAAAACTAAACAGAAAAGACGACAAAGCGCGATGCGCTGCACGTCCTCTGTTTCTGCACCAACAGCTGCTGCAGGTATCGAACACGTTGGTCACGGTCCCTTTCTGACTGATCACAGTTTCTACGTGACAGCAGACTGACAGCATGAGCTGAAACACATTTATCTCTTCATGCTACCTAGAGGGAATATTTCAAGTTTAAATGTATTTATAGAAGTTWTTTTTTTCTTTTTTGCTGCTGCTTTTTATGACTTTGAAACCTGTCATTAGCCTTTATTTATTACTGCTGTCATACATAACTAACCAGTCAGGACTAAATATTTGATTGCCTAAAATGGGAACCCTGCTAATAACAGTCGTAATAAAAATATGAATTTAATTTAACTATTAATGATAACGTGGAATCTACAATACTCAATGTGCAAAACCCAATTTTTTATATTACACATTTTACTTACTAATTTGGTTTTCCAGTCCATAAAAATGAATTACCATAATTTATATTTTTCAGTGATGGTTAAAAATGATTCAATAAAGAGAGCTTTTAATTAATGCCTCATCAAACCTCACACACTTGAATACAAACAGCTTAAAATGCATGAATTAAATACAACTGGTATTGTAATTTTACTTTGATTGCAGCAGGATCGTTAGTAAGTGCAGGTTAGGTTAGATGACCCCTTCACAATTGTATTTGTCATTAAATAAGCTAAAGTAAGGCCTGCAGAAGATGAGAATAGTTTTAATCAGATWACTTGATTAATCGACAGAATAATTGAAAGATTAATCAATTACTAAAATAATCATTAGCTGCAGCGTTAGTTGCCTCTGAGATAAGAGGTGGACGATGGACAGAGTTTCTCTTCTACAACACTAAACGACAGAACTTGTGCATCACTGAACATTAAAGACAAACATTTTAAAAGCTTTAAAGATTTTTCATTCTGTTAAGAAAACAGTAACCCATCAGTGATACACGTTCCACCATTTCAAATTAAATAAAACAGCTGGAGGAAGTTCATTTAACTTCCTGTTTAAACCAATAGATGTCAAAATAAAAGATTTGAAAACTCAGGTGATGCAGCAGATCTGCGTGTTTTATAACTGTTTGTTCTGAGCTTTAACTTTCAGCACTGATAAAACCTCTAAATTGGTCTCAGATGATGTGATCTCTTCAGACGGCCTGTTGACTGCTTTTTATTTTTTAAGTTTTAAAGTTTAAACGAGAGCAGGAAACTGCTGAGCAGGGTCCCAGTGATGGATCACAGCTGTTTAAAAACCAAAGCTGCACAGATTATTGCACTCATTTGCACTTTTGGGTATTAATTTGCATTAATGTGTATTATTGGCTCGGCTTTCCCTTCATCATCATCATCATCATCATCATCATCATCATCATCATCATCACCTCTTCATCCTCCTCCTCCTCCTCCTGTCTTTGCTCGCTCAGTGGAAACTTTCAGTCAGAGGTGAGTTTGTTCTCTGACTGTAAAAGTTTTGTTTTGGCGATGAGAGGCTTCTTCACCTCTGTCAGTTAGTGATGAGGAAGCACTGACCTCTGGTGGTGGACTGCAGGACTGCAGCTCTAACTTTAACCCCCCTGCTGCCCTGGCTTTAGGGCCGAGGCCTGCTGGGCTATTTGACCTGAGGGCAGCAGCAGGGTTAAAGCCAACACTTCTCAGATTCTCTGCCGTCTTTATCTTTTGCTTCCACTCTCGCTCCCTGTCCTCTTCTGTCTGTGTCTCCTGTTTCCTGGTCTGTCTCTCAGAGAGGAGGAAGATGATGACATCGCCCATCAGTTCTGTTGCCCCGCCTCTGAGTGCAGTAGCCCCTCCTCTAGGTAACCAGGGGCGATCGCCAAGACCTTCCCTCGCCCCCCTCTCCGCCTCACCCAGCTGTTCCCCGGTGAACCTGGTGGGTGAAAACCAATCCTCGCCCTCCTTCCACCGCAGCTGTCCGTCTCCTCTTTTTTTCTTTTTGACTGAACTGTTGAGAAAGAAAAAGATCCAGGAGGAAACGAGTGGCGAGAACCTGCAGCTGGCAGGTGTGAAAACAGTCCAACCAGCTTTGAAAGCCAACGGATGATCCACGTGTTCTGTTGGACCCAGCCAGTGGTGCTGGTAAAGGTTAAGAAAAATAAATTCCCCCTCAGAGGGACGGGGAACGTTGCCTTGTAGGTTGGAAGTCACAAAACAAATCATACCCACCACAGGACAAATAATACCTGTCACAGGACAATTATACCCACCACAGGACAAATAATACCCACAACAGGACAAATCATACCTGTCACAAGACAAATCATACCTGTCACAGGACAATTATACCCACCACAGGACAAACCGTATCCACAACAGGACTAATCGTACCCACAACAGGACAAATCATACCTGTCACAGGACAATTATACCCGTCACAGGACAATTATACCCACCACAGGACAAACCGTATCCACAACAGGACAAATCATACCCACAAAAGGACTTATGGTACCCGATACATGACATTTTACCCACCTCAGGACAAATAATATCCACAACAGGACAAATCATACCTGTCAAAGGACAATTATACCCACCACAGGACAAATCGTACCAACAACAGAATTGATCGTACTCGACACATGACATTTAACCCACCTCAGGACAAATCCCTGTCACAGGACAAATCGTACCCACAACAGGACAAATCGTACCAACAACAGGACAAATCGTACCCACAACAGGACAAATCGTACCCACAACAGGACAAATCGTACCCACAACAGGACAAATCGTACCTGTCCCAGGACAAATCGTACCTGTCCCAGGACAAATCGTACCTGTCCCAGGACAAATTGTACCTGTCCCAGGACAAATCGTACCTGTCCCAGGACAAATCGTACCCACCTCAGGACAAATCGTACCCACGACAGGACAAATCGTACTCATAACAGAACAAATCATACTCACGACAGGACAAATCATACCTGTCACAGGACAAATCATACCTGTCACAGGACAATTATACCCACCACAGGACAAATCTTACCAACAACAGAATTGATCGTACTCGACACATGACATTTTACCCACCTCAGGACAAATCCCTGTCACAGGACAAATCGTACCCACAATAGGACAAATCGTACCCACAAAAGGACAAATCGTACCTGTCCCAGGACAAATCGTACCTGTCCCAGGACAAATCGTACCCACCACAGGACAAATCGTACCCACCTCAGGACAAATCGTACCCACCTCAGGACAAATCGTACCCACCTCAGGACAAATCGTACCCACGACAGGACAAATCGTACCCACGACAGGACAAATCGTACCCACGACAGGACAAATCGTACCCACGACAGGACAAATCGTACTCACGACAGGACAAATCGTAGTCACGACAGGACAAATCGTATTCACGACAGGACAAATCATACCCACGACAGGACAAATCATACCTGTCACAGGACATATTGTACCCACCTCTGGACAA